TAGATAGATAGATAGATAGATAGATAGATAGATAGATAGATAGATAGATAGATAGATAGATAGATAGATAGATAGATAGATAGATAGGACAAATTCAGTTGTAACCTTTCTTAGAGTCAAAGATGGTATAATATACAGATGGAACCCACTGGTTTCTGATGGTTTTGAGTTTAAAACTACACCCACACTGGCTAATGATCTGGGACTGACAGCTCATTAGACAATGAGCTTTTCATATCATAGATAATCCTCCATATTGTGACCAAAATATACGAAACAGACTCAATTTTATTCTTTTTGCCATGCAACTGTCGCCATCTGCTGGCCGTCGGATAGAATGCAGTTTACATACACCTGGAAAGCTGAAAGTCTGAATGCTTTCTACTGTCTATGGTCTGGTAGACTAAACGTGGAACGCTATCCCCTAGGATTATTTTTAAAGGAAAATAAGCACTGAAGTAAATCTTTCTTTGGTGTGCATTAAAATGTCCACTTTCATTTTACAAGCGAGGGTGATCGTAAGAAAGCAAAAATATACAGCTCTGTATGTGTTTTTTGAACTTTCATCACTTTTCAGAAACAAAAGCGGCAGTCACAGACCCTGACATCGAAGGAATACAGTACATCGACGAAAACGTGGATGAGGAGAATAACACCATAGACAGGGATGAGGACTCGACGTCAGACGGCGAGAAGGACGGAGAGGACGACCCGAGCGCGCTGCACATCAATAAGGTCAACTTGACCAGGGTTCTCAAAGAAAACGAGAGGGCACGTCTGAGAGTCTGCGTGGAGATCACGCACCCTGCTCTCAAGCTTCCTGTTTACCGGACATGGACAGGTGAACACTTAAGCCCTTCTCCTGTTGAAGTAACCTCAGTAAGGCCAGAGAATCACTTATCGAGTACTTGCTGTTATCTATCCGTACAGGAAGAGGCTAATTCGATCACATGGAGTAGGGGAGAGTTTTTCTCATGTTTTGCTCTTTTCCTCTTCCAGAGCCCAATGAGGAGAATTCATCCACTGCATGAAAGTCCTGCATCAGTCTATTTCTATTATAATGTATCTAATATTTATCCCGTCAGGAAATATGAACTATTACTGACACAGTTTATGATGTGATCATGCATTTATTTATATTCTTATTCTTACTCTGACATCCTTTTATTTTTTCCTTCCTGCTTATTTTTACAAATATTACAAAAAATTTTTACAAATAATGTTACAACAGTAATTGATTGGCTTTAATCAGCGTTTTGAAATAAAAGCTAAATATTCTAGTCTTTCAAATAATGAGTTATTAGAAAAGGTTACTGCAGCAAGCCTCATGCAAAGGAGATATCTGTTGTTGGTCAACCGACGTATCGGAAATTACTTCTCGTTTTAAAAGGCACTTCTGCTTTGACGCTGGGCTTTTCTTTTGTTTTTTTACTCTCCACTCTTGACCACAGCAGCACCGACTCCGCAGTGCTGCGAGGAGGTGTTGTGCGGCTGAGCCCAATAAATATATAACTTCTTAGTTCTTTAGCTTGCAGCTTCTGCCTTTCAGTTCATAGAGCAGCTACTTCTGCTGCAAATATGTTAACAGCCTCCCCGTAGATACTGCAGCGCACCGTTTCAGTTCTTTGATTGTAAAAATAACGGTTATCTTACTTCCACCTCTTCCATGTTGTAGAAATTGCATATTATTTCCTACATATAAAAACATAAACAGCTGCTTAACTACCATTAGAAATCGTTCTATATAAAAAATAACAGAGCCCTAAAATTTGCCCCAGAGTTACAAACCAAATGAAAAGTGAGAATAATTGTGACTTTGTGAGCATTTGATTCGATGGTGACAGTACGAAGGGCTAAAAACATTTTCACTAAGAGATATCTGCTTAATAATGGAACTAAGAGGTGAGTCACGTCCAATTGGTCAATGACGTCACTGGAAATAAGGTATTTTTTAAGAAGCTAAAATCAGATGAAACCAAATTTGGGACATGCTCTTTTCTAATGCCAATGTGACTCATTCGTGCTCAGTTGACCTGACTCTACAGTGTGTCATGGGCGGGGGGAGGGGGTTGGTGGTTTGGAACAGGCCACCTTCACGCCCCCAGATGTTTTTTTGTTGTTGTTTTTTTTGTTTTTGTTTTTTTTAAGACTTGCGGCGATCAGCTGACTCATATCGCATCAGCTGGAGCTATTTCTGAGACTTTGCACAGCTCTCTATGTACCCATAAAAGGCATTGTATTATTATCCTTCATATGCAGCAGCACTCAGCAACAACTGGCTGGTGAAGTCACCCATTTATGATGCACAAAAAGAAGTTTCATAAAGTCAAGAAGCTATCTTCAGAAATATTTTATTGCTCGTGCATATGCCTTATGATTTATTTTTGTAACTTGTGAAAATAATGACTCTCTCTTGGTTTTTGGGTCTCTTTGAATGGTGTCTAATTCAGTCAAAAAGTATCCTCTGTGTTCCATTTCATTAATGTATTCATGCAAACAATAAACATGTGCTTATATATGTGGCGGTCTCAGTCATTTAATCATGAATGCGTGTTCTCAGGTGGATCCTGGCAGCGCCGTTTCAAAGCAGCGCTTCGGTATCTGTCACAGAGTTTTACGAACTTTTTTTTCCCTGTGGCTATGCTCATTATTCACATCCGCAAAGTCTGCAACGCGTCTTCTTATGTTAACGTGTGAATGTGTGTGTTAATCTGTCTCTTCCTCATTATCATACCCCGGACATATGTCAGTTCTAGGGGGAGGAAGTGAACGGCCACTAACAGCTGATGTGTTTCCATCCTGGACGCGCTTGGCTGCAACTTTCTGTGGACTTTCTGCCTGGTTGCAAAGACCGCTTAGGGGGGGAAAACTAAAGTGACACAGTGCTTTGGTTTGTCCATGATTTTTTTTTTTATAACGAGAACGTCACGTCAGATGGTCAGAGAGTGACCAAGGAGGAAGCGTAAGGATGGACCCTGAAAGTCCCGTGTCCCGCATGGAGAGAACTTTGTGGACAGTCTGGGTGAGAAGCCGTCATCATTTCAATCCAAACCTGTAACGAAACGAAAGATTTGTGTTTTAAACTTTTAAGTCCGTCAAACGTGGATGTAAATAGTCTCTCTTCCTGTGTGTCAGTGGGTCTCTCTCTCTCCACGCATATCCGCCTACACAATGTCTCTGCTTACCCCCTCCCTTTCTCGGGGAGAGGGAGAGAGAGAGGGGATGTCTGTGAATCACTGGCATGTTCACGTCCAAGACAAAGAAGTCTTCTCCATGCTTATTTGAACCTGGACAGGTTCAAATAAAGTAATTCTTCAAAAGTAAAAACATTAAGTGCAAATCAAAGCTTAACAGTTCAAAGAAATCTTTTGTCCATCTGTTGGAACAGCTTCTCTGTTTTAGACAGAAGCCTTTATTAACTGCTGAAACCTTTTCTCCTTCAAAGTGCACATTAACCTGCTGGATGCTGATTGAGAGATTATGATTATAGATCACAGCAGACGTTTGAGATCTGATTGCTCTGTTGGTCATCAGCTGGAGACTGTCTGCAGTTCTTTCTGAGAACTGATCCTTGTAATATGTGCGCTCCTTGCAGTTGCAGCATTAGTGAGATTCCTCACAGTGCATCCCGGAGCGCAATGACTGTTTGAGACTGTTATTACACAGGAGACAGTCTTACAAACAGGAAACGCAGGTGTACCATTTACTGGGTTTAAATTTCAGAGTCCTGCTGTTATTGTTGTTCACTTCTGCTAGGGTGCACTGATTTATGTTTCCTGTTTGGGGGTTTTGTTTGTTTGGGTTTTTTATTTTTATCTATCACAGCCATAGACTTTGGAATTATCTGTCTGTCCATGTTAGGATTTCCCGCTGGTTGCCTGTTTTTTTAAAACACACGTTGAAACTAATTTAAACTACTTGGCTTTTAACCCAGAATGATAGTGCTGTGTTCTTACTTTGTCTTCATCACTGTTTTTATTGTTTTATTGCTGTGCCATGCTTTGCTGCTTCATACAGCACTTCATGAAACTCTGTTTTTTAGGTTAGATTAAAATATAATTGGATTGGATGTTTAATTATTTCACATTTCTGGTAGTGATGAACCCACATCAACTAATAACAGTTCGCATGACATCTACAAAAAAAATTCAGCTCCTTTCATCTCTTTATTTTGGACTCACATCTGCTTTTAAACCGCTCTCACTTCTCTCATCAACCTGCTTTTCAGACGTGGCAGGTAGTTATTGTCACAGTTTAGTCGCCTGACAGCTGGTCTCGATAGCCATTGTGACACTTGGTGATATACAATGAAAATAAACAGATTCTGATGTTTTAAAGCCTGTTTCACCAGTTTGAACAGGTGACCCATATTCTGGAGGCTTGAGTCTCCTTTCTAGGTGCTTGGGTTTGAGTCTGCTTACTCACACTCCTTCTTCCCACTTCTGAGTCTATTGTGTGCACTTCTGTGTCCAATAAAGGACATGATGCCCACAAACAAATCTTAATACAATCAAACTACTTGCTGGTGAAGTGTGTTCACCAGCTACAACAGACAAATATGGGGAAGTTGGAGATAAAAGAAACAGCTAAACAAAGAAAATATCATGAGATCCTCAAAAAGACATAAGTTGAAATAAATGCAGATGTTTCTCAGCGTAAACTAAATGCTTTATGTTTGCCATGTTGTATTTATAAAATGTTTGTGTTTTGGTCAATCCTGTAAAGAATGGACCATGATTTTTCTTTTCTTTTTTTAACAGGAGTGTTGGTTGGACATCTTAACAAATGAAACAAAAATAATACAAATAATTCTTATTCTCATTTTTATGCAATTCTTTCGTTTGTTTGTTTGTTTGTTTGTTTGTTTGTTTGTTTGTTTGTTTGTTTGTTTGTTTGTTTGTTTGTTTGTTTGTTTGTTTGTTTGTTTGTTTGTTTG